AATTATTGAAGTAGTGCTCCTCTATTTCCACTCGACTCATTTAAGTGCCGCTATAAAGGAAAAGGCTAGTCAATAAATAAACCTGCATGGAGCTCTGAGAATCACTTAAAAGCTTCTTCGCCAAATTGAGTTGCTCTTCAACGGCTTCAAAACGGCCTTGTTTGTCCTCTAATTGCTTCATTAGGTCAGCAATTTTCTTCTCATACATCTGAGTAGTTTCATCAAGTGTCTTCTGATAAGAACAATGTTCCATCTGATGTTGCTAATATTGGGGAAAAAAACTGCCTTCAGAATGTTGCAAAAGTTACAAATAATTAAAAATAAAAAAAGACTATCCAAAATAAGCATAGCAAATTAGCAAATTTCGCAAAATTAGTTTCTGAGATAACTTGATGTGAAATTATAGTATACATTCTAGTATCATACAGGAGATCCTAGTTTCTCAATTCATCGCGTTGCTTCTATGCATTCTAAAAATCATGACAGGGCATGCCTAATTAAAGATACTGCCAATAGTACGTTTTTTTCTTCACCAACCTGAATAGTTGTCTGATGATCACTCAAAAGCTCCTTCATACGGTCTAATTGTTCCTCGGCATTCATGGCACGGGAACGGTCTTCTTCTGATTGCCTAATCAACTCTGCTATTTTCCTCTCATACATCTGTGTGGTATCTGCTACTACGCTCTGATAAGTAGATGCTTCTAGACGCTGCTGCTCCTAAGAGCCACAAAGAATTTGTTTATAGTAACGGGCTGAATTACAGTAAGTAAGTTGCATGTAACCCTTTATGTTTGATACCAAGTCCAAGGATGTCTAATAAATGAAACAGAACAAAATATCATGATGCACATGCATGTAAAATGGGAAAGACAGCTGTCAAGCTTCCTTCTGGACATCCATATGGTTTAACTTACTGCTGTGCTGGCCAAGCCATACGATGGTCTAGCAAGATAACCCAAACAAAGGTAACAACACAAGTGACTTCATTGGCTAGTCTCACTTTTTTATGTAAGAGTTAATGGTTCGCATATGCCTTTGTATAATTCTATAAAATCAAGAAATGCAAACATTCTAAAATTTCATGTCGAGGTTTGCTCTTTTCGTGTTATATCTTTTCCTACTTCCGCATTAACTTAAACATTAGGACACTAACCCTTGAAAGAATGGGTTTCAGGATGAGGAATTAGCATTGTAACCACATTATTCATTTTTTATCTCAGCAACGGAAACCATTACCTATAGAAGTATTACAACCTACAAGGCATTCCATGAGGAGAAAAACATAGGTCGCTGATTCTCAATATACAGACTTCACTACGCAATTAGCAGGATTACAAGGGTTATTTTCAAGACCCAGCCTCTATCACACATCATTGACAATATTTTCAGCACTATACCCACGGCAAACCGTAAAAAGACATAAAGTTAATGGGAAAACACACAAGCTGCCTACTGGAGCTGGATTGAACATTCAAATCAGGTTAAATGGGGCTCGCCCAATCTATCCACTTCCACCGTAGGGTTGGCTACCTCGAGGTTTGACACACCTGCCCATCACCTTATTAAGCTTGGTCGAGCGCTTTTGCCTTTCGTATTGAGCATAGCCAAATCCAGGATACAGAGTTTGCGATGGACAAGCCTGGCCTGGGCCGTCAAAAATTCACCTTACTTAGCCTGCCCAGATCCATTTTTTTCCTTTTTGTTATCTTTTGCACCAAGCGTCACTTTTCAGTTGATTGGGTGGGCTTTAAATGGCAAAAGTGTATGGGTATAGATGTGGAAGAGCCCGGCCTGACATCGAGCCTATGCTCTGGGGTCGAACGTAACCCGCTGAGCTGATATTGTCAATTAAGAATAGATGAAAAGTGCAAGCTTTCAAGAAGAGAATAATGGTGAGTTTTAAGCTTTAAAATCTCATAAGGAGACTAGCTGTAACTACACCGGTAAAGAGGTTGCCTATGCCTACTGGGGAAAGAAGTTCAGGTTGCGTTGGTCCTCTCTTGAACATATGGAGGCATAGGTCACTAGGTCTTAGTCATGTGATGTTTAAATTAACACTTGAGATGGTGATTCAAAAGCCAACTCCTTAGCATCCAATCAAGTAGTTTTCCCAACAGTGACCAGGTGCGCCTGCTCTGGCTGCATGCAAGTTTGCTTTAGTAAAGTAGGTCTGCAGGTTACATAAGAACTTGAATTGGTTTCAATATGTTAAAAAATGAAGAAATTGTGCCTTTCATAGACAAGTTAGTTGAGCATTTTCAAACTATGAGTTTTACTGCAGGTAGAACAAAAGTTAATTGCACTAACACTCATTTTGCAGGAAAATTACACTAACTTCTCAGAGAATAGCGCCAGTCAATTTAGAAAAACTGATAGCAAGTCCCTATCATGCTGCCACATTGTCCCGTATTTATTAAAGAGAACTTCCATGATATGGAATGTTCAGTAAGAAGGCACCAACAACATAGTAAGGAAAGAGGAAATGTCTTCAGAGAAGTAAAGCATTTGAATGAAGGAGGTACCTGGATGTAATTTATATTTGCTTGGAGCTCTGAAATCTCGTTATGCATCAGACCGTTCTGATCTTTCTGGCGGTTTAATTCAAATAAAATGTCTTTCATCTCTGACTCCAGACAATCATTTTCCTTTTCTAAGAACTGAAGAAAATGAAGAAGCATCACCGAAAAGACATTTCAAGAAAGTCTAAGAAAACTGTATTTATTCCACCAGACAAACCGGACAAGGAGATAGGAAACTAATCTGAACCAGCGATAAAAAGGTGTCATTATATTAAATGAAGCTGTAACACTAGCATTAGAGTCAACTACCTCGGACCTTTTCATTAAACTTTTTTCTGCCCCGGAAAAAGAGTCTTCACACTCCTTAAGCTGTCTCTCCAGTTTGCCCTTATCATTCTCTCTCAACTTTTCCAGCCTCTCCACTTCTGCAGTAAGGTGGTCTACCTGACTCTCCAACTTACGGCGTAAACTTTCATAATCAAATTCTTCTTTGACTTTCATCGTATTAACAATTTTCATTGCCTGCAAAAACAACTCATAATCAAGCTTCCATGGCATTATAATAAAAAAGATTGGCAGATGATGTATGTATACACACATATACAAATCCACGTGCATTTATACAGAGACATATGTGCAGTCAGCATGCATATACTCAACACCATGTGCATGAATGTGCCCACCTGTACTCACACACGCACACAAAAAGGATATCCATGTGTTTATGTTATTCTCTAGTGGATTCTTTCTTTCCCTCTTTTCTTCAGCACTTTCCAGTTTCAGCTTGACTTTCTAGAGCGGCATTCCGTCAGCACATCTTCGACAACCATCAGTGGACCATTCTTATCATTTTATATAAGTCACTCGTAGTTATGTTGTTTTACAGCTGCTGTCATGATCTTCTCAATAAAGGTAAAAACCAAAAGAAATATTCTCAGAAATCAGCTCTGTATGGCGGATAAGAGTAGTTAGACCACAATCATCATCTTCTTAGACGTATACAGAGTGACATTTGTATCTTCTAATTAATTCAACCAAACTTAAAATGGACACAATGAACATCTTCTCATCTGAAATGAAACCAGGATTCACAGATAGGAAAAGAAAACCTAAAACTTTTAAGTAATGCGGTTCTGATTGTTCTCCGTCCAATAGAGGAACTCATTGCGATACAGGTGTGACGATGAACTCATTATCATAATAAATATCGGAATTCAACTTCAGAAGCTATTGATTGTCAACTATCAATGTGTGCACAATGATTTGCAGTATTTTTGCATAATGAACTCTTATCTATCTCACCCGCTGCCCAAACATAATTAATGCTAGTGGTCTCAGCATAATGTCGTGCAGATGGCCCAATCGTTATGATAAGCGAGGTCCTTGCTGAACCTATCACATAAAAACTATCGACAAGCTGAGAAAGAAGGTTTGCAGAGATATTCTTGAATAACCAATTCTTAACTGAATCATTCATCTAGGATGTTCATAGCACACTCAAATCTTAAAAAAAAAAAAAAACACTAATGAAAGAATGATAGCATGTAATCGGATGAAGCTATTACTTTGCACATGGAAAAGCACCGAGAAGCTGTTGTTACATTCACAACCAGTGATGTAAAGAGATAAATGTAGAAAATATGTACGTACATATTTGAAGATTGAACGATATGGTATGTCTCGCAACTAAGTCTGGCAGTAAATGCATATTTAATATTTGAAGATTGAAGTAAGACAATGCACTAAATTAAATGATTTGAATATTAATTTAGTAACTAGAAGGTCAGTGTCACAAACAAAGTTTTCAAAGTTCTTTTCATTCTCTAGGAAGCTAGTATTGAGTTAAGAATGGAAAGCTGAAAGTTGTATTCATGCACCTCCAAATGAATCACGAAGCAATCTTGTCAGCTTAGAGTCCCTGAAAGGTATATGTGCACTGTTCTCAGCCAATGCATTTATGCATTTGCCGAGAGAAGTGAGAGAAAGATTAATAAACTTAGCCTCTTCAAGCAAGTGGTCCTCACTGCCTGCATCAATAACAATAAAATACATAAAGTACTTTTTCAGGATGCCCAAATTCCTAAGGACAAGCATAAAAAGTAGGAAAAGTGTAGAACTTGCAACACGGTGGATTCGCCATGGAAACTTCAGGAAACAACTCTATAACAATGAATAAAAGATATGTTGATTATCAAATGTAAATGTCGCCAAAGGATCAGGAAATAGTGGCGTTGAAGAATTAGAAGAAAATCTCGAAGATCTCAGAGAAAATCCCGAGATAGGAATATTTTGTTTCCATTTATTTTTATCCTGAATCCTCAGGATTAGGAAGTAAATCGCTAGAATTAAGAAGTAGGAAATCTGTTTTTTGTTTCTTGCTATTTTCTAGTTATTGTAGGCCCTATTTAAGTGTTATGTAAGTATGATAAAAAATAAGAAATGGAAGAAACCATTTTTCTTCTTTGAAAAACTGCATGGTATCAGAGCTTGGTTTTAAATCCGGCTCTTACTATGGTGAAAACGGCGATGACCGGAGCTAGTAGGAACACCACTCCTTTAGGTGTCATGCTAGAGAACAACCCAGCTGATCTCTCTGCACAATCGAGCAATGGTGGAGAGCAATTCTCCCAGAATTCCAACCTGCTATTGACAGTTCACCGATTGAATGGCCAAAATTATTTGGAGTGGGCTCAATCGGTGAAACTAGCAATTGATGGCAGAGGGAAGCTAGGCCACTTAACAGGCGAGGTGAAGGAACCAGAAAAAAGCAATCCGTCTTGGAAGATTTGGAGATTCGAGAACTCCTTAGTGATTGCCTGGCTTATCAATTCTATGGAGCCAACAATTGGAAAACCTCACCTATTCCTTCCGACCGCTAAAGATGTGTGGGACGTTGTGAGAGAAACATATTCTGATTTGGAAAATTCTTCCCAGATCTTTGAACTCAAGACAAAGCTATGGCAATTGAATCGAGGGATTCGTGAGGTCACTATTTACTACAATGAAATGGTGACCTTGTGGCAGGAATTAGATCAATGCTATGATGATACATGGAAAAGTCCAACTGATTGTAAGAGACAAATGAAGAGAGAAGAGAATGATAGAGTATACATGTTTCTCGCAGGCCTTAATCGAAGCCTGGATGAGGTGAGAGGCAGGATCCTTGGTCGAAAACCTCTACCATCCATACGCGAGGTCTTCTCTGAAGTTAGAAGGGAGGAATCTCGGAGGCGAATCATGCTACATGATTCGGAAACAAGTGTCAGTTCTATATCCGAAAATTCTGCACTTGTATCTCGGGGGCTTAATTCTGAGGAAGACAGGAGGAAGAAACCATGGTGTGAACATTGCAAGAAACCATGGCATACCAAAGAGACTTGCTGGAAAATTCACGGGAAACCACAGAATTGGAAGAAAGAAGGTTGGAAGAGAAGGAGCAGTAACGATGGTCGTGCGTTCCAAGCAACAAATGAAGAAGAGCAAATCAAGTCTGATTTGGTTTCATTCACAAAGGAACAATTAGAGCACCTATACAAAATCCTTCAATCTCCACAACCTTTTTCAAATCCATCTTGTTCTTTAGCCCAGAAAGGTAATTATTTTTCCACTGCTTTCCTCATAGAAAATCCACACCAAATTGCTCCATGGATTCTCGATTCAGGAGCAACCGATCATATGACAAGTTGTTCAAAACTCTTTTCCACCTATAGTCCGTGTGCAGGAAATAAAAAAATCACAATTGCAGATGGTTCTCTTTCAGCCATAGCTGGAACAGGATCTATCAAGCTCTCACCAGCCCTCACACTTCATAATGTTCTTCATGTCCCAAAGCTATCTTGTAACTTGCTGTCCATTAGTAAAATAACCTCCGATCAAAAGTGTCAAGCTAACTTTTTCTCATCTCATTGTGAGTTTCAGGACTTGACCTCGGGGAGGACGATTGGCAATGCTAGAGAGAGTGGAGCACTCTATTTCTTTGAAGATGGAACAAGCTCAAGTAGACAAGTCCAGGGTAGTTGTTTTGAATCTGTTACTCTTAGTAAGGATGATGACATTATGTTATGGCATTATAAGCTAGGTCATCCGAATTTTCAATATTTAAAGTTCTTGTTCCCAAAGTTATTTTTGAATAAAAGTCCATCTTCATTTCAAGGTGAATTACGTGAATTAGCCAAACATCATCGAACCAATTTTCCCTCACAAATCTACAAGCCATCGAAACCATTCTCCTTAATTCATAGTGATGTTTGGGGCCCATCTAGAATTCCTACATTCTCAGGAAAGAAATGGTTTGTCACATTTATTGACCATCATACAAGGGTGAGTTGGGTATACTTGTTAAAAGAGAAATCCGAAGTAGAGACTGTTTTCAAAAATTTTTACACCATGGTACAAACACAATTCCAATGACAAATCCAGATTTTTAGAAGTGACAATGGGAAAGAATATTTCAATAAAAATTTGGGACAGTTTTTCTTGGAAAAGGGGATTGTGCATCAAAGTTCTTGCCCTGACACCCCTCAACAAAATGGTTTGGCAGAGAGGAAGAATATACACCTTTTAGAAGTAACTAGAGCTTTACTCTTCACAACTAAAGTTCCCACATACCTCTGGGGTGAAGCTATTCTTACATCTACATATCTCATCAATAGGATGCCTTCTAAAGTGTTAGGATTTCAAACACCCCTAAGAGTTCTTCAGGAGACCTACCCAACTTCTAGACTTGCTTCAGCCTTACCCTTAAAACTATTCGGTTGTACCTCATTTGTCCACATCCATGATAGAAATCGGGGGAAACTTGATCCTAGAGCAAAACGATGTGTGTTTGTTGGTTATGCACCTAATCAAAAAGGGTATAAATGCTTTGACCCGATTTCCAAAAAAATGTTTATCACCATGGATGTCACTTTTTTTGAATCAACACCTTTTTTTGGAGCTCATCTTCAGAGGGGGAAAGAAAGTGCAGATTCACACAACTCCATCATAGATTCTTTTTGTCTAGAACCTGAAAAACCTCTTCCTAAAAATCATATTCCCGCAACCCTTATACCAGATTTTGAACCAAGTGTTTTAAATAATGAAAATTCGGGTCCACCTATATTGTCATTGCATCCTACTTGTGAACATAACAGGTGCAAAACTAGTACCGAGAATACAGAGCTTCCATCCTACTCTCAAGTCTATACGAGAAGAGACAAAACTCAAAGAAATGAGTCTCCTGCTCCCTTAAGGTGCCATGAGTCCGAACCGGGGCATGACCAGAACTCCATAGTCACCAGGTAATGTTCCAACTCAATCTGTCCAACCTGATGAACTTGACATACCTATTGCTATCCGAAAAGGAGTTAGGTCTTGTACCAAACATCCTATGTCTCATTATGTGTCTTACAAAAACCTCTCACCCAATTTCCGTGCCTTTACCTCAACATTGTCTTGTGTGGAGATTCCGAAAACTGTGCAGGATGCTCTACAGGTTCTTGAGTGGAAGGAAGCAATTCTTGAGGAGATGAAAGCTCTAGAAAAAAATGGAACGTGGGATATAGTGGATCTACCCAAGGGAAAGACCACAGTTGGATGCAAGTGGGTATTTATAACCAAGCATAGATCCGATGGATCTCTCGAAAGGTATAAAGCTCGGTTGGTCGCAAAATGATACACCCAAACCTATGGGATCGATTACTTTGAAACCTTTGCTCCAGTTGCAAAACTAAACACTGTAAGAGTGCTCCTGTCACTTGCAGCCAATCTTGACTGGCCCTGCAACAACTAGATGTGAAGAATGCTTTTTTGAATGGAGATTTGGAGGAAGGAGTATACATGGATTTTCCCCCGGGCTTTGATAGAAGTTCTAGATCAAAGGTATGTAGATTGACGAAGTCATTATATGGACTGAAACAGTCACTAAGGGCCTGGTTTGAGAAGTTCACTCATTTTGTGAAGAAACAAGGGTATGTTCAAGGACAAGCTGATCATACCATGTTTGTAAAGCATTCTTGTGACGGGAAGGTTGCAACTTTGATAGTGTATGTGGACGACATCATTCTCACTGGGAATGATATTGTTGAGATGAACAGGTTGAAAGAATGTCTTGCTTCTGAGTTTGAGATCAAGGATTTGGGAACTCTAAGGTATTTCCTTGGAATGGAGGTAGCTCGATCGAAAAAGAGAATTGTAGTCTCACAAAGGAAATATGTCCTAGATCTTCTAAAGGAAACCGGAATGAGTGGTTGTAAACCGGCAGAAACTCCTATAGATCCCAATCAGAAACTTGGAGATGACAAAGATGGGGTTCCTGTTGATACATCGAGATACCAGAAGCTAGTAGGGAAACTAATCTATTTGTCACATACTCGGCCAGATATTGCCTTTGTTGTGAGTATGGTAAGCCAATTTATGCACTCTCTATATGAAAAACATCTTAAGGCTGTGTACAGGATCCTAAGATACCTAAAGAGCACACCCGGAAAAGGTCTGCTATTCAAAAAATCTACTCAACGGGAGATTGAAGCATACACGGATGCAGACTGGACAGGGTCAATTACTGACAGAAGGTCGACTTCAGGATATTGTACATACGTATGGGGGAACTTGGTTACTTGGCGAAGTAAGAAGCAGAATGTTGTGGCACGAAGCAGTGCAGAAGTGGAATACCGAGCAATGGCCCACGGTGTTTGTGAGATGTTGTGGCTAACACGAGTACTAGAAGAACTTAAAGTATCGGTGAATATGCCCATGAAGTTATACTGTGACAACAAGGCTGCAATTAACATTGCACATAATCCAGTGCAACATGATAGAACCAAGCATGTTGAGATTGACGGACACTTTATCAAAGAGAAGATTGATGCAGGAGCTATTTGTATGCCATTTGTGTCAACAACACAACAAATAGCTGACATTCTTACAAAGGGATTTTCAGACCTAACTTTGAGTCTCTCATTAGCAAGTTGGGCATGATAGACATTTACGCACTAACTTGAGAGGGGTGTTGAAGAATTAGAAGAAAATCTTGAAGATCTCGGAGAAAATCCCGAGATAGGAATATTTTGTTTCCATTTATTTTTATTCCTGAATCCTCAGGATTAGGAAGTAAATCGCTAGAATTAAGAAGTAGGAAATCTGTTTTTTATTTCTTGCTATTTTCTAGTTATTGTAGGCCCTATTTAAGTGTTATGTAATATGATAAAAAATAAGAAATGGAAGAAACCATTTTTCTTCTTTGAAAAACCGCAAGTGGCTTCCAAGAACATATTATAGGATAGTCACAAACCAGATTTATCTAGTCTTTCTGATCCAGCAAGATCCACGATTAGCAATTTGCTTTTGCGAACTATAGGAATGGGCTTGCTACGAGGTAAATTAGTCTGATCCCTGTCCTGGAGATTGGTCTCATCTTTATCTTGACCATCAACATATCTTCGAACATTGACCTAGGATTAAAAATCATTCCTTCAGTGTTAACATCACATCAATTAAAAGAACCAAGAAGGTCCTCTAGAAATTAAGGTGCAATGATTCTATAAAACCAATAGAAAATGCCCACCATGAGAATCGCATGACTGCGTGAAGATTCAGTATTTAGCTTTGTATTAGCTGCATGACGATTTGCCTCACCAACTTGCAACAACTCTTGAAAATGATCGACACCATGAACATTAACTACTGTGGCTCCAGGCAGTGCCAATTCCCCAGTTTTGGGGTCCTCGGTAATGGGAATGTTAATCTTTTCCGGGGAAAGCAAATCTTGTATGGATTCCATATATAACTGAGAAGCAATAGTAAAAAAAAAAGAAATTAGTGGAGGTAATTTACAATTAAAACCTCTGTGTCTATTTGATCAAGAATAAACCCTAACCAAGTATTGCATAATCAACCAGAGACGCATGCAGAAAGACAAGAAACAGACAGAAGCTATCCGTGTATCATATACTGGGTGACAGGACCTTAGTTTCAGTACAAAGCATATTAATGTGGCTGGCATTTAAAGCAGTTCATATCACAAGTTTGTGCTTTAAATAATCACAAGAAAAAGTGCTCCAAGACATAAGCCATTACGCCTCATAAGGCTGACCTTGGTCAACCAAGAGTAGAATAGTTATTTGATTAAGTAGACTAAAAACTTCCAAAATCTATCTAGCTTATAAACTTAAGTAAGATGGCACATTGCTGATAAGTCAGTTTTTCTTGCTAGGAAGTAAGCTCTGTTCTAGCCGAAAAAAAACATGATAGTTACTGCATCACATGTCAACTAAATTACCTGCAGATAGGATACTTCCACGCTACCGGAAGCATGAGAAATATTAGAAATGATGTCCTCTAAAGCTCTAACCATTATACCATGCTCTGATGCATCATCTTTACCGAGTCGCCCAACTGTGTACGTCTTGTCAGTGCCAGTTTGACCATAAGCCATGATAGTCCCATTGTAGCCACTCAAAACACTCTGCAGGAAAAGCAAAAATCACTGACAGATCTAAGCCTTCCATTATCCCACTCCCCCCCACAAAAAAAAAAAGAAAAAAATTCTCACTTAGACCACCATTTAGTCCCAAAAAGTTATAACTTCTAAGCGCACTCTTGTCATCCAAAATTTCAAAATCTGATACTCAAATTTTGAATGGCATAGTAATCCAGCATGGAAAGTGTAAGAACATCTTAGATTTGATTCAAACTTAGTAAATGACACCTGGTTATATACTTATGCTGGTTCTGCTCTAGCGATATATCTATTGTCATCAAACAATTCAATCTGCTTTTTATGAAGCGTAGGGTCCAAGTCTATTTAGAGTATTCTGTGGGTCTTTCTTGAAGATGATTCCAAAGGGTTGGAGGATCATGTTATTGGCAAGTTAATTATCCAAGTTAATACGTCCATCACTCTTTTTCCTCTTTCCTATGTAAACAGGGATTATCAACCCCTCACCTATAGATTACATAGTTTATACACGCGCACGCGCGCGCGCGCGCGCACACAGAGGTTGGATATGCATATGATGAAATATTTATTGGAGACTAAAATTGTGGGTACTCGAGCATGATTCTATGGCCATGTTAACTTGGTCGCTTACAAATTCTGAGATAAACCCCTCCACCAAAATTGCTCTACACCAACGTTATACAATGAAACAACAAATAAAGTTCTCCCATAATAG